AATTTTGATTTACCTGTATCTGGAAGCTAGTTTTGGCACAAGTAGTCTTGACTTACACAACCATTCATTTAGTGACTGTTTGAAGTTACAGCACTGAAAAAAGTGACATCACTTTCCACACTTACGACCATTGCAGTATCCCTATGGTCATGTGATCAAAATTCAGGTGCTTGGCAACTGGTACTTATTTATGACAATTGCAATATCCCAGAGTCATGTGATCACCATCTGCAACTTTCCCAGCTGGTTTCTGGTTGCTTATCAGAAAAGTCAATGGGGGAAGCCTGATCTGGCCCGCGGGCCTTGAGTTTGACACCCCTGACTTAGGTAGAGCTACTGATTGCAAGATATGCTGCCAATGGATCTGCTTAAGAGTGCTGATATCTGCTCTCTTCTTTTGCTTTTCCAGCCTCTCAATCTGTATAGATGAACCTATATTCACCCTGACAAAAGGATTAAGGTTGTTCTATTAATTACAACATATTTATGTTGCCCTTTGAAAAATAACCCTTTGCCTGTATGTGTGCTTATCCCTGTCTGGGCGTATATGTATATAAGAGAAGAGTATAAATAAAATAGGATAGGAAGGAAGATCTCAGGCAGACACATATGCAAAGGAGATGCCATGATTTGACTGATACTCCAAAGGGAAAAAAAATCTATATCAGAATATGTGAAGCCACCAGCCAAATTTCTATTTTTTTCTAAAAGTCAATAATAGTGTAAGAAGTTAACATATGCATCAGGCTATTTTCAAAACAGCTGACTATCACATGAGCATCCAACAGAAGTCATACTCTGGTTCCTTAGGACGACAGAAAGGACAATATCCAAGTCATGCTTTTATTTATGAAAGTAATTTCTCCAATGTAGTTTCCCATTCATTCCCAAAATATATCCTGAAGTGTTACCATGTCTCAAAAGCAGACCTAGAGGGATATAGAAATAAGGGAAATGAAAACCCACTGGGAAACAAAATCAACTAATATGATACAGGTTTCACCCAAACTCCAGTTTAAGATACATGAGACAGGAATTCAAGGTAGTGTACTACATTATATATACTATAATCTAACTCATTATTTGTATTATTACCAGTTTGATCTGATCAAGTTTGGTCTGGAAACACTAAACAGACATGAAAATTATTTCTACACAAATACATCCCTAGTAACAGATCGATATTTTACTATTCTCCTGTTCTGTTCCCTGTACAGTAGACCTCAAGAGTAAAAGTGACACAAATTTGGACTGAGTTGAAATGGTTTAACCACTAAAATATGCAAACATGTGAAGAAACAGACTAATTAAGGACTTAAATAATCACACATCAGTTTGTTTTTCTAACACTGTATCATTTAGCACACATCAGTTTTGAACAACAGATGGTCAGGACTTTTTAAAATATAGCCATGATTCTTGCCAAGCCATAACCTTCTTGAACTATTATTTACAACTATTTGCCACAGGAAAATAACCCACTGAAAATACATGAGGAAAAATATGTGAATTCTATCATTAGAAAGATGCATGAACAAAAATTTTAAAAGTAAGCAGGCCATAGTTGTGCCATATCACTGACTCATAGGAGGAAACTGAAATTTAAATAGGCCAACTGTGGCATATAAAATATATTTCACAATGACTCTCCTATTTATCTTTTAAAATGTTTGTTCCGTATCAGTGACTATATTTTCTTTGAGATTTATAGATGGGTTTCACTGCCTTTCTATAATTATACAAAGTAAAAACAACACAAGCATTTCCTTTAAATACTTCCAGTGCACAAATCAGACTGAATATCCAATGCAATAAATGTGAATAAGAAATTATTTATACATTAGCCTACAGCTATCTTTGAATTGTGCTTAGGTATACATTTGTTCTGTAATTAAACTACCTATTTTATTTGCCATAGGTTATGACACTCCACCTTTGTTACTTGTTAAACACAAAGCTAAAACTGGCTCTTCCAGTATTAATACTGTTTAGGAGTATGACCAAACTGGGCTATTGTTTCCAGTACACAAATATTTGTTTCTCTAAAGTGCAGTGATCATGCCATCTGTATGCAGTAGTGGACAATGAATAATAAACAGAAAAAAAAAACCCACATTATTATTGGCTACAACATTCTTGTTCAAATAAACCATTTTTGGAAAAAGCGACAGATCTTTTAATGAACTTTAACATACATTCAAAACCAGCAAATTACGTAAACGTGGGCATCAATAACATAACACCTATATTCTTCTATCATTTGCAGAATGTGATAAAGCTTTATAAATTATACAAAATGAAGATACAATGACATCATTTTTGCTATTGCAGTATAAATATCTGACTTTAGAATCCAGGGAAGCTGAATGATGTCAAGATGTAGGCTAGATAAACATATACTGTACTTCTGACATCACATAATTGAAACTGCCTATCAAAAAATAAAGCAGCTTTAAAATGATTAGACTGACTCACCAAAGTTTACAGATATAACATTTACGGCTTTCAAAATCAAAAGCATGTGGTGTATTCTAGTTATTATGGATCAGCAGCAGAGGATTCTTGAACTCATAACTTGTTTTCAGACTTCCTATAGGCATCTAATATATAGGAAATGGAAAGCAGAATTTGGTAATAGGCAGGTGTTTGCCCTGATGGAAAAAGCCGTTAATTTGTAACAAAAAAGCCAATTTTCATCTAATAGCTACAGTTATATTGCACAATATTTTAAGGGAATGTGTAACAGATACAGCAGTTGTACACATCCTAGTTATGCATGCCCTCATTCATCTACCTCAGTTAACCATTTTCATTCTAAATACAGAACAGACCAATCCAATTAGGCTTTAAAAAGTCCTCTGCCAAGGACAGCAGGATGGGAAAGCAAACAAACAAACTTTATTTCTAGTTGGAACAAAAGCAATTGTACATGTTTATATACTGATATAGAACACACATGCATATATATGTGCTTTATGGCACCTATATTCTAATTGTCCTGAATCCATTTTGTTTCCTTTAACAGTGATATATGTATTGTCAGGGTGCTTATTAACAAATACGAAGGCTGGGTTCACAGCCATACTTCTTTGTGTAACCATCTTGAAGATGACTTTACTATCTAATCTAACCTCACATTATATTTTCAGCCTCTTATCATACAACAGGTAATGATGCTCTTGAGCTGAGCCCAACTCCTCGCAGTTCTACAAACACAAAACATAACTGCCTTGCAACAGAAGCAATTTACCTTTTTTTCCAGGATACTCTTTCTACTTCCTACTCTAGCCAAGAGCCCACATATTTCCTATCATTTCTTATACAAGTAAGAACCAGTCATGATTTCTCTGCCCAAATAAGGTCATCCAAATGTTGCTACCTGCTATTTTAGTCATTTTTATTCTTCCACTTCTATTGAAAACCAGTAAGATTTAAAAAAAGATTGACACTCCAACCTCATTTCTGGTTAAAATTCAGTGTGTCTAAGAATTGCATTAATTCACAAGACTGTCAATGATAGGGAAGTTATATTTCTCAGGTCTAATACATAAAGTAAAAATATTTATCAAAATTGCCTAGAATTAGATGCTAGTAAGAAATATATAGTAAGTAGTCATTGGCTTTGAGAGATTTAATTTGAAAATAGCTAACACTTGCAAATGAACTTAGCTATTCCAAAGTTTAATGGTTTACATTTGTACAGATTCTATAGTCATATTTGTTTTTTTCACAAATGTTATTAATTACTTAGAAAAGTAACATTTTTATGACTGAAATTTTAGGCACTTAAGATGCCTCCTGATCACGATCAGGGGCTTTTTTGAACACATTCTTCTACCATCCCGAAAACATCTCTAGGATTTGAAGAGAACTTTTTTTACTTGATATTCTTCCTAATATAAACTTTCTTACTGTTCCAGGCTTCTGCAAGCCATTCAATTTCAATTTGATATTTATTGTATTTGTACTGTTCTGCATTATGAGTTTATATTGGATCAGATCCAAATTATATCCACTGAACCTATGTCCTTTCAAATGTACCAGGGGTTAAATTATTAGTGTGCTTTTGATTTTAATACTGCTTAAATCCGACTAATCCAGACTGAACCTGACACTGTTTTTATCCCTTTAGCATTATAGTAAGTTGCTCTGATTTGTTAAACAAAAACATAGATTTTACAATTATGATTTTGCAAAGGTGGTTATTTTGTTGATATGTACTTATTTAGTATGTTTTGATTCTTTTTTAAAGGATGGCCAATTAGTGGCTTAAGTAAGAGAATAATTTAATTTTTAAGTGAAACAACTTCCTCCCATTCTCTGCATACTATAAATTAGTAAGGGTATCTACCAAGCACACCCAATTTCTATCTTAAGCTTGATTTAATGCAACATCTTTAACTGTAGCATATTACCGTAAGTGGTGGTTACAGTAATGAGTATTTAAAGTGTATTTTAAAAAAAAACGCTGCTTTCTCAACCTTAAGCTGGTCATTTTATGTTTGTCTGCTTTAGCCAGACCATTTTAATGAAGGTACGTGCATGTGTGCTCTAAAACAGACAAACATTAAAATGACCAGGTGCGATCAAAGATTTCTAGCAGCTGCTCAAGGCACACACATTCTCACTCTTAAATAACTGCACCAAAACCTCCTAATTATTTTCCAAAAGTGCTGAAACTCCCAAGTTCTTTTCCAGGCCGCCTTCCTAGAGAGGGAGGAAACCCCCTTACTGTTTAAACTACTTCTGGACAGGGGTGGGCAACTATGACAACGTTACGCCCTGTAACGTCCATGCCGGCGCAGGAATTCTGGGAGTTGAAGTCCAGAAAGTTGCCACAGCTGCCCATCCCTGAGTTTGGGGGTTTGCGCATCTAAATTAAAAAAAAAACTAGTCGGGATCCAAGAGATTTGATCGACTCACGAAGAGATCTGCCGCTCTGAGGCGAAAGGAGGGTGAGGAGGGTGGGGAGGGTGGACTCCTGAAACCCGGCCTCATACCTTACGTTGGGCGCTGGAGTCATACTTGTCATTCCGGAAGCCTTGAGCGTTCTGGTGCCGTTGAGCTCGCGTCCGGGATACGTTCCCTCTCTGCGAGCTCATCTTCCATGCTTTCTCTCCTCGTCCGGAAGCAAACCGGCTCCTCACTTCCGGCGAAGAGGTTTGTTGAAGCGCCTCAGGTTACCTCGAGCGGCAGAGCGGCTGCGATTGGCTTCAATGAAGAAGATCCCGCCTTCCTGACAGGAAATCTGACAAGAGCACGCAGCCGAGAGGCGTAATTTTATTGGTCGGCTCTGGAGGGCTACCGGTCAGAGAGGCTTTAAGTCCCGCCCCTCGCCTCGCTTGGCAGGGCTCTATAGCTCAGCTTCTCCTTCTCGCTTGTTTTCTGTTTAGTTCCCCGTGAGGCGGGTTGGAATTTTTTTCTCCCACGGAACGCGCACCGGAGCTTCTGCCGCGCTCTAGCTTCGGTTGCTGTTGCTTTTTTCCCCCCCGAGGTTGGGCGCCGCTGAGGAGAGGAAGGGAGGAACTCGAGCCGGCGCTTTAGGCCGTCGCCCGGCGTTGGAGCCTCGGCGGTTGCTCGGTTTAACTGAATCCTTCGGCTTTCGAACGGCGCCGCTTCAAGAGCCTGGGCCGGAACGGGCCGAACGCTGTGCGCGAGCCGGGAGCGAGCGCCGAAGCGCGCCCGCCGCTCAGCTAGGCAGTTGGACCCGGCCGTGTGGTCTCTGCGGACGCGAGTCCGGAGGTAAAGCCCCCTCTTTGTCGCCTCCTCGGTTTAAGGAATGGGGAGGGGGGAGGCCGGCCGAAGGTGGTGGCCTCGGTGTCTCTCCAGCAGTCATGACCAAAGTAAGAGGTGGGGAAGGGCTGCTTGTCTGAGGTATAATTAAAGCCGACTGCGGTCCCGGGAGGATCAGGACGAGGACGCCGGGAGAGCTCTGGGAACCGGAGCCGCTCTGCTGGGACCCCGAAATGTGTCCCGCGTGGAGTGGGTAGCGCTCTCCTCCGTATGCGCGCGCAATTGCCCTCCATCTCTCTCTCTCTCCCCCCCCCCTCCTCCTCCCGGTGCTTCATCTCTTCCTCTCCTCTGCAATACGCCAGCTTTCCAGTGCGGCGCCAGGACTGGAGTCCTTGATTTCGCCTTCGGCTGCTCGCGAAGTTTCGGGGTGCCGTGGAAAGAGCTTCGTCTCGTCTCCCGGTGTGAGCAGTGTCACGGCCTATATAACGGGGGGGGGGGAGAGGTTGCTCGTCTGGCCGTGTTGAGGAGGCCGAGAAATCGAGGCGAGCTCGGGGGTTGTTAAATGGTGTGTGTGTGTGTGTGAGCTCTGGAGGGGTGAGAGGGTGGGGGGAAACTCTCTGGGTCTTGGTGGAGAGAATGACCTGCGCTGTGCTCGTCCTTCTTTTGTATGCGAGGCAGCTTTGGGAGGGAGGGAGAGAGGATGAAAGGCATACTGTTCTAGGGGATAGAAAAGCGCCAAGTAGTGCTGGCTGTGTTTCTGAACAAAGCTTTTCTTCCCACGAGCCTCGCCCCACTCCTGCGACCCTGTTTGGATTTTCGTAAGATCTGAAGACGTCTTTTTGGATGAGAACTTCTTTGGAGCATTATACTGTACTCTGTTCTTTTAAAGACTTTTTGTTGGAGGCTTATACTCCTGGCTTAAACGAATATAAACGAGTGGGTTTCTGATTCTTATTGAGATGCTAAAGATTTCCTAACCCTTAGCCTTTTGAAGGTGTAAAGAGACCAGTTTGGAATGACTAACATACCTTAGAAGATGGGGTTTCCGTTGTTATGAGCGGGTAGATTGTGCTTCTCTCTTTATCAGTGCTGTCATGTGTTTCTTTTACATGTTTAGTTGAAATTCTTTAAGTTATTCTACTATTTAAACTTTTTTGGGGGAAGGGTCTATTGGTTAAAAATTCAAGCAAATCAAGCCTCTATGTAGATTTACATTTTGTCAGGGTAATAATGTAGTCTAGCTTATGTCTTCTGATAGCTTATCCCATGTGTTCGATAGCATATAATCATCCAAACACACATACTTTTAAATATATTGCATAGCATGTCTAAAACTATTCTTGCTCAAATAAAAAATGTGTACATTACCAACTCCACACTTGGAACAAATTCATATTTTACCTCTAGTTTATTTTAAATGCATATTCTTGTTAATCTGTATGCCATGACCTTAACATTCCATATTGATGACGTGTTCATTGCATTCTAAGGAAGAATGGCTAAGAGGAAATAGTGCAAAATATTCAAGTTAGCTATGCTAGCTTTATTATTTATTAAAGGACTTTCAACATGCCCAGGTTCTGGTACATTGTTTGTAGAAAAATATTTGTGAGAAAAAAATGAAAAATACAATATCAACATATTTCTCTTCCACAACATACTATGCCAAAAAAGTACTTCTTTCCCACAAATAAGGTTTTCAAAAACAAAATTGGTCCTGACTAAACCTAGTTTCATGAGAGTTCCCTGAAGCTTAACTAAGAAAAGCAATTCAAAGTATTATCTACAACAGACCTGGGCATTTTACGGCCTTGGGCCAATCTTTTGGCTGTCCCTATCTAGCCCATGTGAGGTTAATTGGAAATTAGAAATCAAATGTAAATAAGTGTATGCCATGCTCACAATACAACTGCATTGCTTTTATTTTGAAGGCAACTGCTTTTTTTTTTCCAATTCATGTATGTGCATACATGCGTGCCTATACACTTTCACAGCCCTATTTGGATCAGCCCTCCACAACAGTCCCAGTTTCTTACGTGGCCCCTTGGGAAAATTAATTATCTACCCTTGACTACACAGTGTTATCTGGGTCTATCTATGAAATTGCTTTTCTCTAAATTTCCTTTCCCATCCAGTAGGTTCTGACTAAGTAGGTAGGTTCAGATCCTTTCAGTAAAACAATGACATCCTGTAGGATCCAGTTGTGTACCTTCTCTGTTGTTGCTCCTCCTAAATATTTGGCACAAAGCTGGCTCTACATTAAAAGGCGCAAAAAAGTGACTTTGAGCAGGCCATAGGATGAAGTGTTTGTGATGCTTTTATGGTGATTGAAACTTTTTTTATGTATTTCCCAATGGTGTCATTTAATTTTTTAAATACCTTTTGCATTCTGGTTGTTTTCATTGAGTTTTTAATGTAAGCTACTTTGAGTCTTTCCAGTTTGGCAGACATATAAGTGTAATAAATATTCAGTGTGCAGAAGCTTTCATTAAATGTGATATACTCATTATATAGTTTAATTAAAAGTATGTTTCACAAGCTAAATAGAATAAGCTAACGAGTTGATTGCCACTAGACAGACTTATTTTTGAGTGGAAATATGAAAAAGTGTTAAATATAGGCAAACTGGCAAATAAGCCACAAAAGTGCAACTCAGCATTCTTCATTATTATAATGGACATTGCAGTGAGGAATAGTGGAGTTACTGCAACTTGAAGATAAAGATATATACTGCTTCTGTTTCACAATATTGTTAAAATGGAATTGTGTGGCTATACAGTACCCTCATTCTTTGCAAATAAAATAAATGTCTTTCCTGTGTCTTGTTGAAAGATTGGTAAAATATTGGTGTTAAAATTAGGGATACATTTGTTACAACAGCACTGAAAAAGTGACCTATGACTGGTTTTCATACTTATGACCATTGCAGGATCTCCCCGGTCAAAATTTGGGTGGTTGGCAACTGGCATGTATTTATGACAGTTGCACTGTCCTGGGGTAATGTCACCATTTGTAACCTTTCCAGATGGCTTTCAACAAGCCAGATTCACTAATGACCATAATGATCACTTAACAACTGCAGTGATTCACATAACTGTGGCAAAAAGGTCATAAAATGGAGCAAAACTCACTCAAATGCCTTGCCTGGCAATGGAAATGTTGGGCTCAATTGTGGTCATAGGTTGATGACTACCTGTACTTTTTGTTTTGCACCACTTAGCCTTTGTGATAACTTGATTGTTTCACTCATAGGGTAAAGTCATATCACATGACTAAGGGAAAAGGTTGGAGTTGTCGGTATAATATGTCACAGTAAGGTCAGGGCCTTTGTGTATACTCGTTTCTCATTCTCTGATTCATGACATAGGTCTGTTTAGAAGTTGAGGAATAAAATTTAAGCAAACGTTTTGTAATTTCAAAGCAAGAACTAGTCTTTCATTACTGTGGCTGGAATATCAGAGAACATTATCTGCTATTTGAAGGCTGAAAAATCTAGAATGAGTTCTCTTTTTTTTTTTTTTGAATGCACCTAAAATCATGAAAGATCCATCTTTTATAATCTTATGCACACATTGGAATAAACTCTGTTGAACTAAAAAGAATGTAATTTTTGAGAATTCATTGGGTTGCAAGATTGATCTATAATCTTTCCATTTACTATTTGTTCAGGTTCTATCAAACATTCAAATGGAAGTCACTCTTATAAATGGATGGGGCTGTGAGAAAAGATGTATTTAATGAAATAGTCTTTTTTCATTTAATCAGTAGTACAGAAATATCTCTGAATTCTGTATTGAAAATATTAGCTTCTATTTTTAAGCATGCACATTGCTGAGCTAACTGCATAGTGAAAATGTGTCACAGTATAGCTTGCTTTAATATATCTTCTTAGTCACACTTCTAAAGGAAGTAGTATTAGCATCATGGGTGCTGCTATCAGATTGCTTGTTATGCAAAGGTGTTACACCAGCTCATATTTAATACAGCATATATTGCACATGTGTTAAATTTGTAAGTAGCTCAATAAAGAAAAACAGATTTAATATCTTAAGTTATTTAGTAATCTAGTAGAGCAAGAATTGCTAGAATACAACTGTACCAAGCAGCAATTCCATGGGTTTTATTGTTCAAAATAGTTATGGAACATAACATACATTTAGAAAGTATCATTTTTATCATTTTTCAGTAAAATATAACTTGAATTATGTTAGTTAAAATTCATTTGTCTAAAACTAAATAAATTCCTTTGCCAAAAATGAAAGTTCCTGTTTCTATCTAAATTTCTCCTTTGTCTGTAAATTTGTTTTGGAGTCTTGTGATATATTTTGTGTGACATTTGCTACTGTATAAGTACCATTGCTAGTTCTGTAATAAAATGTCCTTTGACTTCTGAGAAATAGATTTATTGTGCATCCAATTTAC